CAATCCTCTACGGTCTAAAATCCAAAGATTACAAATATAGCAAAAATAACAATAATTAAGATAGCAAATATTATAGCGCAATTTGATCATTCCAGCGGTTATAAAAATATCATCAAAATTTACTGGGATACTTTTGTGTTCGATTGAAATTATGTTTAGATTGGAAAGTCTCTCCTGCTTCCTTGTACTTCTCATGTAGTTTATGACGTTTATGCGTTTGCTGAAACATCGTTCTTCATATGACACTGTGACAGGCAATGTGGGAAACATTCTCAATGCAGTAGTGATGTTAGACTAGCCTTCTTTTAATTTACTTTTATAAATGAGACTTAACATTTTTTTGATGTGACTTCTTTCAAACTGTTGTCAACGGTCAAAGCGTGGTGCATAAAACATGGGTGGTGCTTGAAACACATCTGCGACCGCAGATGTGTATAAACATCGACTATGGTCTCTCAAAAAATTCTTGCTCCGGCAAAATTCTTCGACTCCGATACATTGGTAAAGCATCATGTCCGCGATGTTCAACAGCGTTTCTCAATGAATTTAACAAACAGACGGGTCTTGTGATTTTAACTTCGTTAAGTGATGAAGAAGTAGATGGATCAGGAAGTAGAAAGTTTTAGAGAAAAGGGTCAGAAAAAGCATATGTATAGAATAATCATATATGGGAAATTCCTTATTATTGATATTATGATAATATTATCGATATCATGTGACAGGGGGGCCGTAATAATTTTGCCATCTTTTTTGAAAACAAACATAATTCGTATGTTTTGTGACCAATATTAATTCAATTATAAATATATATATATATATATATATATATAGTGTATATATAATTAATATAATAGTTATATAATTCCATGATATATATATATTTATAGTTAGTTTGGCCCGAGGTTTTCGTTATAACAAATTTGGTTGAATGTTCTTGCCCATTTTATATTAATTAATTTCTTTTGGGTTTGTTCAATAAGACGCAATTATTGTAACTCAATTATATTAAACTCGTCAAGCATTTCGAACGGCTGACGACGTCGTTTCGACAGTGTATGTCATCATCAGAGCCTACGTTTAAATTATTAAATATGAATTGAATATTTAAAATTGTAAAATCAAGAAGAATAAACAAACCAAATTGGGAAAATATAAGCGTAAAATGATTAAATTAAGGAAATTAAATTAAATAAGGACTGAATGGGAATGAGGACATAGTTGCTCCAGAGGTGTTGATTTTTTATGTTGTTGGTCTGAGAGAAGCTTGGAGGCATTCAATAGCTTATTTTTATACAAAGAAATTATCATCTCACAAGTTGAAAGATTTTATTAAGAAAGCCATTGATAAATTAATTACATAATGCCGGAGTTAGGGTAAACAACATTTGTTTTTCTTAAAAATATGTTAAAATTTTTATACATTATATTTATTTTTAGGGTTGTTTCACTGGTAATGGATGGGTTGGCCACTAACGTTTCGGCATGTGGATTGCTTAGATGCTCTTTCACATTTCCAAACATGCAAACAAGTTTCTTGTCCCCAACAACCGGCCAGAAAATATATATCATATTTGATGCATGCCACATGCTGAAATTTATGAGGAATATGTTTCATTCTTATAATATAATATTTTATAATAATAATCCACTCAAATGTAAACTTAGTTAATTATCAACAACAAATCAAAATGAAATTAAAAAATAAAATAACCAAAAATCATGTAAATTTTGAAAAGCATAAGATGAAAGTTAAATATGCATCTCAACTCAAGTCTTTAGTTGCTCTGTGGCTAAATCATTGGAACTCTTAAACGAATTTTTTGTTTTTTCTGACGTTTCTGAAACAATAGCTTTTGTGAAAAACATCAATGATCTTTTTTGATATATTGAACAACAAACTGATGCTAGATAGAGAATGGAAGCAATCCATTACAAAGAGCAACCTGACAGCCACTATAGATAAACTTTATGAAATGAAAGCCTACTTACTAAGTTTGAAAAATTTAGATGGTGTTAACATTTAAAACTCAAAGGTTATTTATATATATATATATTTCAATATCTAAACTAAAACTAATTACAATTTCAGAAAAATGTGCATAATGGTCTTTTGTACAACCATAAATTCAATAATTGATATTTCGAAAGAATTGTTGAATGAACAACCTTTTGCCATGACTTACCGTTTCAGTCAGGATGCAATGGAACTTTATTTCAACTATGTAAGAAGATCAGGTATTAAGCTTTCTGACTTAAGTCATAATAATGAAATAACATAAAAAATTAATTGTATGCAGGTGGATGCTGCAGTCGCATAAATTGCCAACAATTCAGCGATGTTTACAAAAAGATTTGCTGCAAATTTTTAACAGTTATACTAAGTAATTTTGACATGAAAATTATAAACTGAATAGATTTAAAGCTACTCTGCAATTCACAGGTAACAAAGGAAATGTGTCATCATTTGAAACAGAAGAACTGCTTAGTAACATTATTTTTGGGGCAGATTTTGATGACAACGTATTTGTGGAGCATGCGTCACTGCAGTAAATTGTCAGCAGTTGCACTGCATACATGGCAGGATGGGTGGTGAAGTCAATAACACCGACCATCTCATGTGCAGAATGCAAGTTCTTTTTTCTTCTAATGTAAACAACTCCAAAATTCATTTAAAATTTTGCATTAATATGCTGTTATAAATCCCTACAAATATGCAGAAAATGCTTGATTTCAGCCAGCAGAAACATATTTAGCAAATCATCAAATCATCTCATCATACTAAAAGACAATGGACAATTGACATATCCCTCAAAAGGAGTATTAAAAATAAAATGATACATTTATTTATTTTCTGGTAAAAGCAATCAATTTTAATGATTTTCAGATCTGCCAAGAATCAGAAAGATTATTAAAAATAATTGACTATTGTTTTAAGAAAAAACTTGTAATTGAAAACAACATACTCCTACAATGTGTCAACGAAGTTTTATTTAACATGGAAAATCATTTCAATGATGTACAGAATGCAAACCACTATTATGAATTAATAAAAAAAATAATAACATCTTAACGTTTTAATTTAACTAAAGGGTTTTCTATCAACATGCAGTTTTAATAAAAGTAAATTAAATAATAAAATGCAACGAAAATTATACTATTTAAATTTATTAAATCAATTGTTTCGTTGAATTTGTACAGTGCTTCTAATAGATTACATCAGAAGCAAATTCTACAACCTTTTATCTTTTTATATATATATATATATTTCACTTTTCAAGATAGTTGAAAGATAAATTTAAAATTATGTAAATCAAACATTTTGCAGTTATACCGAAATCCAGAAATAAAAAAAGTAGGACTGATCTAACTACGAGTTAAGTTAATTACTAATTATAGCAAGATAGATGTTTTATAATCAACAAGCAAGAAATATAACAATTTACACATAAATATAAAAATATACATGTTCATAATCTAGCACCTTCAGGGTTATTTTATAAATAGTAATGTTAAACTAAAAATTATTAAACATTACATACCTATTCTATTAAAAATCAACAGTTGTTCGTTTTATAAAATTTAAATCAATAGCATAATGAATTTCATGTTAGCTTAATATTAATTAAACTATTATTTTTTTATTATATTAATGTCAATTACAGTTGAAATAATTAAGTTAAAGAATTTGATTTTAACAAATTATTATATAAATAATTTAATATATTAATAAATTATATATAAATCATAGCATTTTAAAGTTAAAACAGAAAAAAAAGATCGTTTGCTTTTACTACCAAAAGAAATTTTAAAAACCTCCTCTGTGTGATTAAATTTGGTTTAGGTATGTTATGTTGAAAGCAAATATTCCTTTGTATTGTAAGCTTTGGGGTGTTGAAAGATTCTAGTTTAGGACATATGCACAGGAATTACATCTTAATTTAAAAATTATTAGTTGATTAATTTATTTATAACAATATAAAAATTGATTATGAGTTATATTTTTTAAATATTAATAACATTTCATTTTTACAATAAAATTTTTACCGACTTCTTTTCGTTTTCCTATTTAATTTAGGAATGATTCTTACTCTAATCATCGTGATTCGTGGGTGCTGGGAAAATGAATGAAGAAATCTTTATTTCAGAAAAATGAGGATCGCTAATGAACTTATTATAAATCTTCGGTTTTTCTGATGCATCAAAAAAAATGGCAATATCTATTTAACGATTAAATACGGCACCTTATAAAATTTATAATATAAATTAACCTAAAACTTCACGGAATGTTGAAAACGAAATAAATTTTAACAAACGAGCTGAATGCAGATCGGCAGAGTCATAACATAACTTCGGGAAGACCAAGTTTTTTCTAATTATATCTCAGATTTTTCTAAAAATAAACCAAAATGATCATGAATAATTAACTTTTAGGAACTTGCTTCCAGAGGTAACTTGCCCGTTGAAAAAAAATTTTCAATGTTAAAACGCTGGTAGGGCGCTTCCAATTATATAATTCCATGGTAAACACCGGCTATTTTGTTTTCTATCGTTTACCGCGATTTTGATTAAAAAATGTTTATTTATTCTTTCACTTAAATTTTACCATCATTTTACGAAAAATGTATGAAATAAATCAATCAAAAAATAGTTAAATAAATAAAACCTTTAAAAAATGAATAAATATTTATTAATAAACTATAAAAATGTAAAAATTTGACGAGTTTGATAAATAATTGTTTAAGGAAACCAAAGAATGAGATTAGATTCTAAAGCGCAATAAAAATGTGCGCGGTTCGTTCGATGGCCTCTAAGATGTATATGGTCTAGAATATGCTAATTACCCCTTACAACATTCTGATATACATTTTATTGTGCGAAAGTTTATATAAATATATATATATTTATATATGTATAGTTGTGACCAATAGTAATTGAATAAAAAGATCCATAGCAATAATTAATGTTCGCATCCATCGAACGTTAAGTTCCCATTTGTGTCGCCATTTTGTTTTTGGCCGTCATTGTCCGTGATTCCGATCTTCCTTTTGTTCTTCTTGTCGCCGTAGCAAATTATTGAAAATGACGGATCGGGATGATAACGTTTACAAATCAAAATTGGCAGAACAAGCTGAACGATATGATGGTTAGCATTGCGATCATTCAACATGAATGCTTTCGTCAGATAATCATTTAAAAATTTATTTTTTTATAGAATTCAATTTTATTATATTAAATAAATTTTTAATATTATTTAGGGTATATGTTTTTTATCTGACCGCCTAAAAACTTTTCAAAAAAAGCAACCCTAACCAGCCAGGAAAAATACTAATCTTTATATATATCTAAATGTGATATCATAAAATGAAAATGTGGTTGTAATGACTATTTCGTTAACGAGGTAAAATGTGACTTTATTAAATGGTAAAAATTTTGGTAGTCGGATAAAAATTATCTTGTTATAATTAACATTATAAATAGTTTTAAATTTAAACAAATCAATAAAATGTATTTTTTTTTAAAAGTCTACACCTGCAAAAATCTATATTGGAATATTTCGTAATATTAATCTTCCAATATTAATTTTCAATAATTAAACTTTAATACCATAATTTTATTTTAATATTAATTGGAGGTCATGTAAAATTAATGAACCCTAAAAAAAGCTTAAGTAATACTAATTATGTAATTCAATTTATGGAGTTCTTATTTTTTATTCATTAATTTCACTTTCTTGACTTGATCATGAGTAGGGTTATGAATAATAGAGTTTATGTGTGTAGTTTGTATATATACATTTTTAGTTTATACATGTTTATTTCTTTATCATAAATTTATAAATTTAATTGTATTACAATTATGTAAATTAATAATATCGCACACTCAATCTTAAACAGAAAACCCTTATTTTTACCATAAGCATAAGCCTTAAGTCCTATACTCATATTTATTACATTAGTTAGCATTATACTAGACATGAAAGTAAAATTTTGGTTTAGTTTATAATAAAATAAAATTTTATTAAACTTTTAATACACAATTTGACAATTCACATGATATTTGTCATGGTGTGGGTGTCAGAATTCTCTAGGCGCCCAGAGTTATATTTTTTATCCCACAATGAACTTAATCAATCTTCGTTTTGCGTCCAGAGACCCGGTTCCCCAAGGTAGGACATTGTTTTCTCTGCCATCAACTTTTTGCGCCAAATTAGATGATCAGTTGTATCCATTTCATTTATATTTTAAGAGCTTTCATGTCTTGCTCGATTGTTTGCGACCAGGACGGCCTTTGGGACGTGTGCCAGGTGCTTCAACATCTGCAAGAGAAGTTATGGCACTGTTTCTACTTCGTTTGTCATGACCAAACCACTGCAGACGGTGTTGCCAGCATTCGTCCTTTATATTATCTAAACCAGGATTTTGGTAGATTTGATGTGGTCCTTCAGACTAATTTGTTGCATCCATCGGAGCATTTTCATGTCGGTTCATTGAAGTTGTTTCAATTTGGTTGTCATTGGCCATGTTTTGCACCATATAACAACACCGGACGTATCACAGATTTATAAAGTCTTGATCGTAGTGGTAGTGGGATGTCACGCCGCATCAATATAGAGGCAAGGAGATGCCATTTACTCCAGGCTGCACGTATGCATGCTTGAACAGCAGCTTCAGCTGTTCCAGTATAATCCAGAACATCCCCTAGATATTGAAACGATGTGACTTTCTCTACCTTAATGGCTTCAAAAACAGTGCTATTTCGAATTTGTTGTAGTAGATTGATGCAAGCAGGACAAACAAAATTGGACACTTTAGATAAAGTACCAATTATTTTTGAACATCGTTTGTGACACTACTGGTTACAATGATCTTAAAACCTTTTTTATTCAACCCAATAAAATGACTTTTTTTGTATTGTATTGTTTTGTATTTTTTTTTAAAGAGTCTACACTTAAAAAATCATATTGTATTGGAATATTTCATAATTTCTGTCTCTTCTAATATTAATTTTCAATAAGTAAATTTAAATAGCATAATATTATTTTATTTTAATATTTATTGGTGGTTGTGTAAAATTAATAAACCCTGAAAAAAGCTTAAGTAATACTAATTATGTAATTCAATCTATGGAGTTCTTATTTTTTATTCATTAATTTCACTTTCTTGACCTTATCATGAGTAGGGTTAGGAGTAATAGAGTTTACGCGTGTAGAAACTCCTCGGTTCCAGAGTCTACATATGTGGACGATGCTAAAATCTGCTCTTAAAAATTTCAAGAACAAGCTACAGTTTTAAAAATGGTTTTCCATAAGTGCAGACATATGTATCTATCATATCAAACTTTCATTTTTTGTAATTGTTCACCGGGATTTCACAGGGTGGCCGCTTTCACACTGAAAAGATTTTACGCAAATTCAAAAGGTTCGTTGCCGTTTTTTTGTCTTTTTTTAAGAATATTACAGCCCAAAATTTTGTATTTTATTGTGTGGTAATCATTTCTAAATAGTTTTAGAATGGTTTAGATATGTTACATGTTGCAGCAAATTTTTCACCTTAGATTATTCATGGTGACCATGTGCGTGGACATTGGTATTTTGAATTGCTTTTATTGCACATGCTGCATGGGTACATTTCCAATGTTAATATGTGTAGCAAAACTAACGTCACTCATTTTTGTGAATAAATTTGAGTTCTATTTTGCATATTTATATTTTTTCACTTGCAGACACCGTCCTGATATTTTGAATGAATCAGAAATCGAAGATTTATCTGATGGAGATGATTATGACAGTGACATGGAGATGACAGTGATGATGACAATGGAAGAGACATGCAAGCAGTGGAGGAAACAGGGCGGGATGGGTTATAAAAGAAAGTTTTGATCAAATTTTGCAACCATTCGTGGAAAAGAAAGATCAGAAATTGAAGGTTTATCTGATACCAAGAGGTTGAATCAGATGATTCAGATGACTCCGATTGTGGTAAAGAAAATGACATTGACGATTACAATGGAAGAAACAAGGCAAGCAATGGAGGAAATTTATAATCCATCTCGCCCTGTTTCCTCCATTGCTTGAGGAAACAGGGCGAGATGGATTATAAAAAAAAAATTTTGATCAAATCTTGCAACCATTCATGGAAATGAAAGATAAGAAATTGAAAATTTATCTGATAGCGATGATTACAAGCCAGGGCAAGTGGTTGAATCAGATAATTCTGATGACACTGATTGTGGTAGAGAAAATGACGGTGATGTTGACAATGGAAGAGACATGGCAAACAGTGGAGGAAACAGAGCAAGATGGGTTATAAAAAAAATTTTTATCAAATCTTGCAACCATTTGTGGAAATAAAGGATGATGATGGTTCAATTCAATGGAAAGGGCTGATTGGTGTTCATTTCAATATATTAAAAGTTACACAGTTACATTGATATGAACTTTTAAATTCAATCTTCGATTGCACAAATGTCACATCTATAAGAAAAACTGGCTACTGATTACTGGTAAGAGACACTAGAGTTTTGGCAATTTTGCATTGAAGTTGCACATAAAATGATATCAGAAGCTAAAACTGAAATGATGATGATCAACCTCTTGCCAAAAGGATTAAAACTGCTCCACTACCCCACTAAAGAAGAGGATTTGGCCATTTCCCAAAAATGATGGACATGAAAAATGCAATGAGATGTTGGCACAGAATGTGATGAAAAAATTTGGGTGATGTGTGTGAAATGTGTGTGTTATTAGATTTTTTTTATACAATTTTACGATGATAATTGATAAAAGACATTCCTACATGTTAATAATTGTGATAATAAACTGTGAAAATAAATAATGTGTTATGGAAGTCATTTTTTGTATTGCGATAACCATAGTTATTGACATTGCAAGTGCCCATAGTCCATGCGTGTGGATCTGCCTGGAGTGGTAGACGCGATTATCTGATCATGTTCAAACTTCAAAGAGGTACTAATTAGAACATATGTCTGCCATATTGATCAAAAAAATAATTAAATTACGTTAATGGTGACCGAGGAGGTTAACATTGTCAACAGCATGTAGATCTGCATATGACAAGTATTCACACCAACATCTATGCAACCACCACAACATAATTTACATCCAGCTTCAAAGATAAGCTTAATGCTATGTTATGTACAGCTCTTGGCTTGGGGTGTAAGGCTTTGTTTAAAAAAATGGTCTTCAAAGTCAGCAAACCGAGTTCAGAGCCAGTTTTGTTGTAAAAAGAAGTTTGTGTATTTAACTTCTAGTGAAGCAATTTTTGAATTTATGTATCAGCAACCCACAATCACGAATGTTTCAAATTTTACTAGAAATGAAGTTTACTGAAATTTTACTGGAAATGAGTGCAGAGGTCTAAGACAAATTTCTTAATATTTTTTGTAAAGCCGTGAACGATGAGCATTGCACTTTAATGCTAATGATTATGTATTTATTTTAAATATTTTCAGTGTTTTTTAAAAACGCTAAATATAGAATAAATGTACAAAGGAAATAGAAAACGTAATAAGAAACCAGCTTTGATACCAAAAAGTATATGCGAAAAGATTAAAGTAACGAAATTAGAACTTGCAAAGACTTCCAACCTTTCTGACCGAATAATATCAAAATTAAGTGATTAATTATGATTGTTGGTAGATCGATCAATTGATTACTGCTCATTTGATTGATTAAGTGGGTGATTGAGTGATTGTGGTAAATTATCAGGACTAATCTGTATTGAGCTTGTTTTTTAAGATTTTTGTCATACTGTAATTATATATTATATTAAAAGACATAGTTGGTGCCTCATGTATCAAAAACGACAAAAATGAGATGGTTCATGAACAAGATGAGATCTTGATCATGAGAGAATACTTCAGTGGAGAGAATACTTCAACTGTCTGTTAAATGAAACAAATCCCATCAATGTCAATTTTGACGCTCCGCCCATCGAAGGTCCGATTCCGGACATCACTGTAGAGGAGCTTACAGAAGCTCTGAAAGCTATGAAGGATGGAAAGGCAGCAGGGTCCTCTGGACTCACAAATGGCATTATCAAAGCATCTGGTACTGCAGGTATCCAAACGTTACTACAACTTTGCCGTGAAGTGTGGAGAAATTGCTCAATACCGACTGAATGGAACTATAGCATGACAGTTCTGCTATACAAAGGCAGAGGTGATCCATTGAACTGTTCATTATATCGGGGTATACGTCTGTTATAACACTCCCTGAAAATTGTCGAGAAAATCATTAAGAGAATATTAACGTCGTGCATCACAATTGGAAATTATCAATTTGGTTTCCTAGCTGGGAAATCAACAATTGATGCAATTCACATCCTTCGGCAACTGCAAGAAAAGTACCTCGCAAAGCATCAACCACTATCACACATTTTTGTAGACCTTGAAAAAGCATTTGATCGAGTTCCCCGTGAAGCAATCAAGTGTAGTCTACGTCAACAACTCATTCCAGAATATCTTGTTCGACTTGTGATGAAAATGTATACGAATACTAAGACTTTTGTCAACACAACGGTTGGAAACACAGATGCATTTGACATCGGCGTTGGAGTTCACCAAGGCTCGATTCTCAGTCCACTGTTATTTATAACTGTGATGGAAGAAATCACAAAACCGATACGCACTGGTGACATTTGGAATCTAATATATGCTGATGATATCTTTTAAACAGCCACGTCTGAGCAGAATGCAGCACATCCTTTTCAATATCTAGAGGATGTTCTGGATTGTTCTGGAACAGCTGAAGCTGCGTTCATGCACGCATACGTGCAGCCTGGAATAAATGGCATCTCCTTGCCTCTATAATGATGCGGCGTGACATCCCACTACGATCAAGACTTTAAAATCTGTGATACGTCCGGTGTTGTTATATGGTGCAGAAACTTGGCCAATGACAACCAAATTGGAACAACAACTTCAACGAACCGACACGAAAATGTTCCGATGGATGCAACGAATTTGTCTGAAGGACCACATCAAATCTACTGAAATCCTGCGTCGTGCTGGTTTAGATGATATAAAGGGCAAATGTCGGCAACACCGTCTGTGGTGGTTTGGTCATGTTGCAGATGTTGAAGTACCTGGCACACGTCCCAAAGGCCGTCCAAAGAAGTCCTGGTAGCAAACAATCGAGCAAGACATAAAAGCTCTAAATTTAAATGAAACGGATACGACTGATCGTCTAGTTTGGCGCAAAAAGTTTATGGCAAAGAAAACAACGTCCTACCTCGGGGAACTGGGTCTCTGGACGCTAAACGAAAATTGATATTATATGCCAATGTTTTAATGCTAACATTTAAGTTGACTAAATGAAAAATATTAATTAAGTTTCAAAATTTAGGACAAGCGATACTAAGGTTGAAATGATTTTTGAGACTTGCAAAAATTTTAAAAAAATGAAAATCAATGAAAACAGAAGTTAGAATTTTTGTGAAAGATGTTGAAAATATTGGAACAATGGAACCTTAAAATAATTATGGATGCAACACATTATCATGGTATAAGTGTCACATAATTGTATTGTGTTGTATTGCACGACTTGAAAGAACCTCAGAAGGGCTAGAGTTCTCTATAATTGCTTTTGGATGTTTCTTGTTTGTGTTGTATTGCATGACTTGAAAGACCCCTTTGAAAGACTTGCAAGGCTAAGAGTTCTATATAATTGCTTTTGTATGTTTCTGAACCTGTAACTTCCACTTTGATTATGCTATATAATATAGCATTTGTTCATTTGGAAAGAGTTTTTTTTTTTTTGTTAAATAAATTTTACTTATAACAATTTCGGATTCAATTTTTTAAGACATTCAATTGAAGGGTTAAACGAAATCATGTATTAGAAAAATATAGAAAAGTCCTGTATTATTTTACTGTCGACTGAGAGGTTGAACAAAAAGTTCAAGCATAAATTTCAGAGTTTCGAATCAGTCTTTTTCAAGTAACCTTCATAAACAATACTTTAGGTTATTTGTAGCATTCTGGAAAAGATTTTTATAAAAATTGTAAAATTTGCACACGATTTTACATGTTTCATATTGTAATACTTGAGAATAAAACTCGTACTAAGATTTGAGTTCTTACACAATTGAATAGTAGTAATTGTTAGTTTTATGTATAACAAAATTTCTTTTCTATTTGCATGAACAAGTTTGGAAAGTGTTGTGAGGTTCTGGATTAATTTGTGAATTGTTTGTCAAAGTATTTGCTTGGAATTCTGAATCCTTGAGCTAACTGACCATCCTATGTCTTCTTTTATGTCAGTAGATGCCTCAAGTCTTATTAAAATAATAGCACTCCACAATTATACCTATGCCTCAGTGCGTCTTAGAATTTTTATCAGGTGCCACTGAGTTGAGCATTAGTTTTGGTTTCATTTATTCTCATTACTTTTAATACATTTTATGTAAGGATGTCAGAAAATTTCTTGCTATAAATTTCACCTCGGCGAAAATTTCTTGGTGGCTATTTTCCTCCTGGAAATTAAAAAATGTGTCCAAATTAACAAAAATTAGATCCAAGTGCACACATTTTTTAAATTCTTTTATTAATTTTTTTTTAATTCAATTGATTCGCTTTTTTTATAACTTACAAACTAAACCAGACTTAAAAATACACAGAAAGGGAAATAACAAACAACAAATAAAAAGTTATTAATATCTAGATGGATACAAATTCTAAATTAGGAAATACAAAGAATTAAAATAATCAGAATGGTTATAAATACTAAATTAGGAAATACAATGAATTAAAATAATCGGAATAGATACATATACTAAATCATGAAATACAACGAATCAAAATAATCAGGATGGATTCAAATACTAAATTAGGAAATCAATGAATTAAAATAGAATTTATACAAATACTAAATTATTAAATGAATAATTATAATTAAATTATGAATAAATAAATATAATAATATGATGGTATATTCCTAAGATACATGTCACATAAACAAATTGAAAAGATATCTTATGTGCAATTCCCTGCTTGCAAAATCATGGACAGTATTTAGTATTCGTAAATTACAGTCTTTGAATTTTTTATGTGGAGGAACAGCATGATAACTGATCAATTGATCCATTTGTAATTCATTGCAGCTGCGTACATTTCGAAAAACTTTTAGAAATCTGCATATATTTGGATATTGCCAACAGATTGTAATTTTCGATGCCACTTTTTAACTGCATTGTTAGTTTGAGGAAGGTCATTATCTGCACGAATATAGCAATTCCAAACATTTATTTTGAACATAGAATTGGCTCTTTGGTTTACTATGTAAAAATCTTTAAAATAGTCTAGCAACAACATTATTTCCTCTGGCAAGACTTCTTGCAATGCTTTGAAGGCCTCTTTTATGTGATCAGCAGTAACCAATGCAAGAGCAGGCAAAAACGAACATATGAAGCAAAATCTGGCTCGTTTTGTTATTTCTCTTGTAATCCAACATTCTGCAGTTTCCTAAAGATATTCTGAGCAAAGTGGAAGAAACATCTATTTATTTGGACACCACAAAACAATTGCTATGCAGCTGTTATTGCACCCTTTTCGAAATCCATCTTAATACTTACTGACCTTTGGTTCAATGGTTTTTAATTTCAAGAATAATCACGGTACATTTCTTGTGTTTTATTTAGCAGTAATGCATAAATATAAATCTGCCCCGTGAATTTTGTGTGGATGCTGTACAGCTGAGAAAATAACTGGAATAACTTTAAAGGTGCCATCCATGTACTAGTTTACGTTTTCCTTTAAAGAAGTCGTGGAGCGATTACCTTCAAAAAGTAAAGTTCTGTTTTCGTCAACTGCTCCACGATCAAATAACAGAAATTGTTCACCATTTGATAAATGTGTTTATTCTTGGAAAATGGTGATATTTAAAACTATGGAAAATGAATATGTAGCATCACTTCTCTTTCTGAAACCTTTTACACCGTTGAGACCATATTACACCGAAACCGCTTGAGAAAAATTTAGAAATTCTTCAGTTATAATCTGTTGCACTGTCTCATGACTTTCAACTGCCCGTCTTTTTACACTTTCTCTTGCTCATCATTTTCTCTCTTGCCGCATCTTTGCGCATGGCTGTGTTCATTTAAATAATCCACTACTGACATGTCTGCATTAAATTTCACTTTAGCTTCACATGCGGTTGCTCCTTTGCCACTGTCTTTGGAACTGGCGGCTTCATTAGCGAGGTCTTTTTGCTTTAAGTAGTAGTAACCGTTGAGTTGCGCTTTATTATTACCACAAATTGTGCTATTGTCTGTATCTCCATTTCGGTAGCACTGATTGCGAACTGGGATGTGATGTTATATACTTACTGCAATAATAGCATATAGGCCTATTTGCAAAAAATAATCTGTAAGCTAAACTACTGTCAGACAACAAAATGCTTACATGAGCAAGTTCAGAGTCATGGATTTGACAGAATTTAAAATTTTTTATACTCGTAAGAAGGTCCCACAATGTATTTCTTGCCAGGTTCTTTTTGGGGTCAACTAAGATTTGTGTATGTGAGTAAAAATAACTCTGTTCATTGTTATCTATATGTAATGGCTTGTTAGTTTTATTGAAAATGTTATTTGTCACCCACCGTTCAAGAAATGGTTGAGTTCATGAAAAAAGTGGCAGCTCTTGATGAAGAACTAACTGTCGAAGAAAGAAATTTAATTTCGGTTGCTTATAAAAATGTTATTGGGGCTAGAAGAGCTTCTTGGAGAATAATTAGTAGCTTGGAATCTAAGGAAAAAAGTAATAATGATCCTAATGTGGAGATTACTCGACAATACAGACACAAGGTTTTCTAACTATCATATTTCATGCTATTTTGTTATGATACTAACTTTTTTTATTTACAGGTTGAGAAAGAATTAAAAGAAATATGTAATGACGTCTTGGATGTTTTACATAAGCATCTAATTCCGTCAGCTAGTAGCGGTGAATCTAAAGTGTTCTACAATAAAATGTACATATTTTATGCCTTTTGAATGAATAATTTTTACATAAAATAATTTTTTTTATAATTTTTTTTAGGAAAGGAGATTATTACAGGTACTTGGCTGAATTTGCCACTGAGTCTGATCGTACAGAGGCTGCTGAAAATAGTTTAGTTGCATACAAAGCGGCTAGCGATATTGCTACTAGTGATTTGGCCACCACTCACCCTATCAGATTGGGTTTGGCTCTCAACTTCTCTGTGTTCTACTATGAGATTTTAAACTCGCCAGACAGAGCGTGTCAGCTAGCCAAAAAAGCTTTTGATGATGCGATAGCTGAGTTAGATACATTGAGTGAAGAGAGCTATAAAGATTCTACTCTCATTATGCAACTGCTTAGAGATAATCTTACCCTTTGGACATCTGATATGCAAGGTTATTTTTAATAGTTAAATTTAACAGGCAAAGAAAATATATACCAGTAACAAATACACTTTTTCTGGAAACTGATATGTTGATCCACCAAAATATTTATGTTGATTTGGCAGCTTGTGATATTTTTAATAGCTTCGATGATTAGCTGTGCTGATCATGCGGAAATGAAAATACTGTGTATGTTTCCAAAAATGCTTGATTGTATATTTATACCTGAGGGAAAACAAAACAATGTTTATAAGATATTTTCGTTATTAAAGTATATTGCATTTATATAGTAATTAGTAGTGAGTCATTTTGAAAAACTTGTTTATAGGAGATGAAGATAAAAAAGATGGAAATGTGGAAGACTTGGAAGGAGATGGTGCAGCTTCTAAAGCCTAATCCAATTGCACGAGACATTTTTTTGTCATGTTGCTAGTGATTGCAATCATTCGCGACGTTGTTTCAAAGTTGCTTGATGAAAAAATTTTCTTAACATTACTATAATTTTGTTTTCATGTTCACAATCTTAACGTATTTACAATTTTAACGAGTAAACAACTGGATAAAAAATTATTTGTGAGTTTTGGTGTTCATTCTTAGCAATATATTTCATTTTATAATCTGGTTCAAAAGATTCATAGTTGTTGATATGAGTGAATTTGATAAAAATGTAAAATTCTGTTCGGTTTAAATTGATAATTTTTGTAAATCGGCTTTGCTAAATATTATTGGTGTATCTCATTCTAACAGAAAGTTTAACCTTTAATTATAAACCTTTCAATTTTTCCATCTCAATGCGTTATGTTTCTAAAATATATTTCGATTTCATTTTTTGCTTTGTCTTTTATTAATGTTAGATTCAGGAAAGTGTTGTTCATCATTCCATTTGCAACTTTAGATTAATTGAAAACTTTTTTAGTCGTGCACTTCTTGTTACAATAAAAATATTTGTAATGAAATGTTTTACGCTATTAAGTTATTCATTTCAGTCACAAATACGGTCCATAAACTAAAATGATTTGTGTTTTTGGTAATGCTTTGCGGTCAACGTGTTGTATGCGTATGGTTGTATGTATTTGTGCATTTAAAATTTTTATTAAAGTAATTCAAATAAGTTACGAGAATAATCTCAAAGTCACCTTTAGAAAATGTAGAAATGAAAACGAAAAAAAGCAAAGTATTCTTTGGTAATATGAAATGAAAAATGTGACATGATTCATAATTTTAGTCATTGCTAAAGATGAAAAATATTGAGGATTTGAATTATAATGCACACTAAGACGGCAAAGATTGGATATTGGATCATCTGATCAATCTATGAGGTCGGTTGTGTCGTTGGGTCATGTTCTTTCTCATGCCTTACTCTTTCAGGATGTCGGCGACCATCGACCTCCACAAAACCCGATCTTTAACACTAGCAGTCAAAATGTGATTATATTCAACTAGTGGCACAAGGACTTCGCGAATGTATCATAATTCGTTGTTGACAGCGTCCTTTCCATCAATGTCTAAATTTTCCAATATTTCCAAAAAAACTCCACATGTTTCACGCTATCAAAAGCTTTGGAATAATCGAACATAATTTGAACATAAACAAGTCTTTCTTCATTTCAATCGTTCGTTCACTGATCATTCGTAGCATAAAGGTAGCGTTTCTTGTGCCACAATCCTCGACAAAGCCACATTGGACATTTGAAATTACAGATCTGATTTTGCTTCGTGCTCTCATCATCACAAGTTTTGTAAGATGACTCATCAAGCTGATTGTTCGATGTAGTTCACATTCTGCTGCATTAGGCTTTTTAGGCAATGCAGTAAATATTAACTTGGATAGATCTTGAGGAATTTCGCCGCTGTTATAAATTTATTCAAAATTTCTGTCACTTTTTCAATGCGAAATTCATCAAGACATTTAAATTCTTCAACAACTATCTCATCTGGACCTGGCTCTTTATTTGATTTCATTTTTGAAAAAACGGCACGAACTTCAGATCTAAATATCTTTGGTCCTTCTACGTCTTTTTAAATAGGAGGCTTTTTACCACGGATATCATCAAAAAGATCGTTAATGTATTCAGTCCATCTTTCAAGTACTTTTACTTTCTCAAAGATTACTTCACCGGATTTAGCTTTTATGCATCCAGAAACAGTACAAATTCTTTTTCCAGTGATTTCTTTGATGTTTTTATACATTGCATTTGTATTAATGTTTTTGATCTTTTCAATGATTTTGCACTTGTCATTTAACCATTTCTCCTTTGCCACTAAGCAAATTTTTTATTGTTTTGTCCAGCATTTTGTAACTATTAGGATTGCCACTTTCCTTCGTTCATCTATCAGAGATACGATGTCATCTGTTATCCATTTATGACCTCTTTTTTGCTCTTTCACAAATATAACTTCCCAATAATGCCAATAATTCGGTAAAATTCAGTACAATATATATATATATATATATATATATATATATATAAATATAATATATATATAGATATATATATATATATGGGTTTAGACTATCATAAATACAATTATTTATAAAGATCACTGCGTTTTCGGCATTATTCAACTTGTAGTTGAACTTCTCAATTTTTCTAACGAGACTTTTATCATCTTGATGAAGTTTATTAAGGTAAAATAAAAAACTTTTAATATTTGACAATTTTGACAAAACATTATTAATAACGTTATTACTGCAGAAAAGCTCTTTTCGGCATCAACTGCTATCATCAGTGTAGTTATTTAGTATTGTTCCGTCTTTGATCTTTGTTTTTACAGCGACTTTGATTGTAACTTAATTAGAATTAAAGTTAATCATGTGTTTCTTTGTTGGAAGAGTATTGGTATTATTTAGTTGAATATTTATTGCTGGTTTACGTTTATCGATGAAAATTGATTCTGCTATCTTCAATTTGAATCTCTGTTGTAATAAATTGCTTTGGTGTTATCGTCTAAAATTTCCCTTGTTATAATAGTGTTGTGTTTTCCATCAGGTGGTCTTTCATTGCTCCATGTTGCTTATGCATAGTGAGTCTTCTCGTTAATGTTGTTGTAGTCATTCCGATGTATTCAGAATTTTGATGCACGCACTCAACAATTTTACATGTGAATGAATTAATCAAATGACTACTTTTCATATCCGAGGAAGGTTGAGTTTTGGAATTGTTTTTTTATTATTAGAGGTAATGTTTTCCTGTTCGTGTAGTAATGTCTTTTCATTTTCCTTACTAGATTTTTCTAGAAATTGTTCAATTTGTTGAAAATAGAATTATCCAAGTTTATTATGATAATTTAGTGAAACTGTTGTTATCCATATTCATCATCCAGATAAGGCCTAATTTTATTTTTCATAAATCATCTTCAGTGCATGTTTGGTTTATAAAGTTTCTTTAAGCAATGCAAATTTCTTCAGCAAAGTTGTTGTTATTCCTTTGTTTTTCATTGTTATTGATGTTAGTATTAAGGCGTCGAGTTTGTAATGATGTTATCATTTTTTGTGTGATGTTTGTTTGGGTTTTATTGGTATCTCTAATTTCCAAATCCAACAAAGAATGATGACATCATTACCAACTCGGCGCTTTAATACTAACTTCAATAACAATGAAGAACAAAGGAATGACAACAACAAAGATGAAGAATACGATACCAGCTAATAAACTTTGCTGAAAAACTTTGCTGAAGAACTTTGCATTGTTTAAAGAAACTATATAAACAAAACGTGCACTGAAGATGATTTATGAAAAATCGATATATGACGATATATTTGTTACATATGAGGATGATGATCAAATAGCAAGACTTCTAGAACGACTAAATTTATCAAAATTAAAATTTACAATGGAAAAATCAACTGACAATAAACTACCATACACCAAATCAACAAACAAACGTTTATGCCTCAATGGCAATAGTAAATGTTGTCAAACATATCTAGAGAGCACGATTTCTGCCTTTGTAAACCGAGCCTATACACATTTTTCTGATATAGGAAGCAGGAGAACAGAACTAGATAGAATCACTAAACTACTCATTAATAATGGATATAAAAATTCCATGATCCAGAAAATAATAGAACGCAAAGAGCAAGAAATCAGCAAAAACAACAATGCAACTAACCATAGTAACAAAAATAACATAGTTATATATTATAAGAACCGCATGTCAACCGCATTCGAACAGGATGAAAAAGTCGTGAAAAGAATCATAAAAAATAACGTCCAAGAAACCATCAAAAACGACAGCATTAAATTAAACTACGGATATACTACTCCAACCAAAGAACGTCATCTCTTGTGATGAAAAACGACTACACTAATAAGCCAGAATCGACAATGGATCATAGCCGTTTAATATATTTGTTCAAATGTACTATTGGTAAGTGTGGGAACCATAATTTTAAATATATTGGTATGGACAACCAAGTTATCGAGAAGATTCGGGATGCACGTACAAACCGGCGCTATAAAAAATCACATGAAAGAGGAACACTAAACTAATATTACTGAACAAATCTTGAACACAATGTTGAAAACCATTATAATTTACGACTAGCCGAATCAATACTCATAGAACAAAGTCATCCGTTAATAAATATTTAACAACGGGCAATTGGAATTCTTCCAACCAATAAACTTAGAAACAGAGGAATCATCGATAATGAAAACACGTAAAAGTGTTATATTTATCGGTAATGAAAACACGTAAAACTAATTAAATGAGCGTTAAGTATTTACTTAGAAGAAACAAGGAATCAACAAAGTAGATTAGCGACACGGTATATATATATATATATATATATATATATATATATATATATATATTTGAGCATCTGGGCGCATACACAACATATCAATTCGAACACCGAAGATGATATAGGAATACCGAAAAAAGTAACTTGAGAATGATTTACGATCAACCGTTAGAAAAATCTAAAAATTAAATTAGAAGTTAACTAACGCCGAATATGCCGTGATTTTCATCAATAGTTGCATTTCTTACAGTTTTAATCTAATATATATATATATATATATATATAAATATATATATATAGTGTTGTATATTAATCGATTACATTTTTTGAATCTGTAATCACATCATTTATAAAAGTAATCAGTAATCAAATTACATTACATTTTTGGTGTAATCTGTAATCTAAACAGGTTACTTTATTTTAGATTACTTTAATCAACGACAACAATACATTTTTAAAAATACCTAAGATTTTTAAAATTTAAAGTTAAAAAATTAAAAATTTGACTTATTCAAAAAGAAATAGTTTATCCATTGACGTCGTATGCTTTTTAGTTTGACCGCTCACGTAATGTTAAAAAGTTGGTCTGCTCAAGAACGTTATGAAGCAGGATAAGAAAAGTCGCTTCTGGTTCAAACTTGTTTGAAATTTTTTGAAATTTTAAAAAAATACAATTTTTTAAATTATTTTATGAATAATTACAATTTAATAATTCAATAAAAGTTTAAGATAAAATTAAAACCTATTAATTAATTGATTAATTCAAAATTTGAATGCAAAAAGTTTGAACTAATGCATGCTTATCCTTATGTTATTCAAAGACCATTGATTTAATGTGGATATTCAAAATTGGGGTACTTCAATTTTGAGTCAATTTTTTAAGGCACGTGATCGCTCTAAGCCTAGTAGTGAGGAATGCTGTCCGACCTCGTTGAATTTATCTATGTTAACAAAACAAGAATCGATAAATCAATGCTTTAAAACTCTTATTCGATCATATCAATATGCCTATAATAACGCATAAAGTCATCATGTGTTTGCTTACAGGTTTTTTTTCTATGGACTGTATATTTAAAAACGAAATTTTCTGTTAATTCACTAATAACTAGATTATATTTTAATTTATCTAATAACTATAAGATAAAATACTAACCATGTAAAATTT